CCCCACCCCCCCCACCCTCCTCCTCCTCCTCCTCCTCCTCCTCCTCCTCCTCCTCCTCCTCCTCCTCCTCCCTTCTAGCACTGATGATGTTATCTAGTTGGGTCATGAAACGTCTGCAAGAAAACCACCAAGCTCAGAGAGCACCAAGGACCCCACTGTCCTCCTCCTCCTCCTCCCCCTTCTAGCACTGATGACGTTAACTAGCTGGGTCATGAAACGTCTGCAAGGAAACCACCCAGCTCAGACAGTGCCACAGTTTCCTTTCTTATATAAACAGATGGGTAAGATTTATCTACTCGGGAAAAACCGGATTTACACCCAGGGAGCTGCCCCAGGCCAATAAGGTGCCTGCCAGTGGTTTTTAACCCCACCCTTTTCCTCCTGCAGGTCTGTTGTCTTGGAAAAGCATGAGCGAAGGTGGAAAACCTCAACCGGCAGCTACGGACAAGGAAGAATTTGTCCATTTCTTCCCCCAGATCGTCCGAGACCTGTTGGAAAACGAACTTCACGTCCCTGAAGTGGCCGATGCCGTCACCAGGCTGAAAAGGGTGAGGCCCGAATCTTCTTTCCTGTTTTGCAATAAATGACCCCCCCCCCAAAAAAAATCAAGGTGGGCTAAAAAACCAGGAGTTCGTTTAACGACACTGCAAAAGGGACCGCTTCTCACAGCGACGAGCGTTGCAGCATCTCCATGAACACTGATGCGTGATAACTGACTCCCATTTATGACAATTGCATTGTCCTGGGGTGTGTGTGTGTGTGTGTGAGACGTGATCCCCTTTTGCGACCTCCTGACAAAGTCAAGGGGGAAGTCGGGTTCACTTAAAACGACCGTCGTTCCTCGTTTAACAGCGGCAGCGATTCAGGTAGCAAACGCGACAAGGAAGTGGGGCAAGGCTGACTTGGCAAATTTCTCGCCCAGCGACGTACATTTGGGGCTCGGCTGGGGTCTGCAGGACCACCTGTAGTGCCCAGGGGTGCGGGCTGGAGACCAAGAGGAGATTTTAAAAAAATGGTGGGATTCAGCAGGCGTGGGGTCTCTTCTTAGTCACAGTCGTTGCAATTCCCTTCCTGTCTTTTAAAAAGAGGCTGGACAGCCGTTTGTCTGGAATGGTGTAGGGTTTCCTGCCTGAGCAGGGGGTTGGACTAGATGACCCCCGAGGTCCCTTCCAACTACTACTACTACTACTACTACTACTACTACTACTACTTCTTCTTCTTCTTCTTCTTCTTCTTCTTCTTCTCCTCCTCCTCCTCCTCCTCCTCCTTCTCTTCCACTTCCCTCCTTCTTCTTCTTCTTCTTCTTCTTCTTCTTCTTCTTCTTCTTCTTCTTCTTCTTCTTCTTCTTCTTCTTCTCCTCCCCTTCCCTCCCTTCTCCTCCTTTCTCCTCCTCCTTCCTCCCTTCCTCTTCTTCCTTCCTTCTTCTCCTTCTTTCTTCCTTCCTTTCTCTTCCTCCTCCTCCTCCTCCTTCCTCCCTCCTTCTTCTCCTTCTTCTCCTTCCTTACTTCCTTTCTTCTTCCTCCTCCTCCCCCTTTCTCTTCCTCCTCCTCCTCCCTCCCTTCCTCCCTTCTTCTTCTCCTTCCTTCTTTCTTTCTTCCTTCTTCTTCTTTCTTCTTCTTCTTTCTATTATTATTATTATCATATTTTGTTTTTCCATAGGTGATCGAATATAATGCCGTTGGTGGGAAATACAACCGCGGGCTAACCGTGGTGGCTGCTCTTCGGGAACTAGCCAAACCAGACCAGCCGGACCCAAAGACTTTCCGCATTGCCCTCGTTGTGGGCTGGTGTGTTGAACTGGTAAATTCCTTCGTCTGCAACCCAGGGGTGGATTTTGACGAAGGGCTGAGTTTTGGGGGAGCGGAATTGCTTTTCCCTGTGGACCTCAGCCTTCTCGGGTTACTAGTCCTCAACGTCGCGATTTCCCAAATTTAGGTCCCGATTGGCAAAGCCGAAAGAATTTCTTTTTTCCTTGGCCACAGTGGGAAAACGGCAACATCTGATTTTTGTTTTTGTTTTTTTTTTAATTGCAGCTCCAGGCGTTTTTCCTAATTGCGGATGATATTATGGACTCTTCGTTGACCCGCCGAGGCCGGCCTTGCTGGTACAGACAGGTAATTTGACCAAATGCAAAAATCCCTGCCGCAAAGATGGGGAAATTCTGGTTTTTTTTCTCTCTTCTTCCGGCTGCCGTTTCACCTAGGGACAATTCTGATTATTATTATTTTTTTAATTGACCCTTAAAAGGAGTTGCACAACACAGTTGCTTCCCTCGGGCCGGGCTACGTGTTCAAAAGAGGCCAGATAAGCCGAGATCTTATCCAAAGGGAACAAGGGGCCGTGCGCTGAACCTTGGGCATAGATTACTGCTAGTCCTCAATTTACAACCGTTCGTTTAGTGACCGAAGTTACAACGGCGCTGAAAAACGGGACTTGGGACCGCTTTTCAGACTGACGATCCCTATGATCGCGTGATCGAAATTCAGACACTTGGCAACTGACCGGTCTTTAAGAATATATCATTATGGTCAAGAAGCCGAGAACGATATATTTAGATGCTGGGTTTTTTTTATTTGCAAGGAGATCAAAACTGGGTGACAAGGAGATTTCCGCTTATGTGAAGGACTATTCACAAGAAAGATATATTTTGGTTTGGAGAAGATGGATAGATTATATTGAGCGCAAATATGGGACCAAAAAATATCATTTGGTTTTTGAGTGAATTTTAGAGTGTTATTTTGTATAAAGGTTAGAATAGGTTATTTAGTACTATTTTTTATTATTAAAGTGATGTTATTATTATTGTTTTTAGTAACTGTATATATTGGTTTAAAAGAGAGTTAAAGGAGGTTATAGATATGTTATTTTAATAGTTATTAATGTTATTTAGAGTATGATTATTTTATTGTTAACCATGTGATTGGCACTGGGAAGTGAGGGGGGAGTGGAGGGGGGAGTGGAGGGGTGGGTTGGGGAAGGGGGGGATTTATATTGTAAAATTTTATAAAATTTTCAATTAAAAAAAAACCAAACTGGGTGACTTGATTTCCCCGGTGATTCCCTTCTTCCTTTTTTGCATCGTCTCCGGCAGGAAGGGATCGGCCTGGACGCCATCAACGATGCCTTCCTCGTGGAATCCAGCGTTTACCAGCTGTTGAGGCGACACTGTCGTGAGCAGCCCTACTATCTGAATCTAATGGAGCTTTTCCTCCAGGTGAGTAGCAGCACCCCAAACTACACCTGTCCCTCGTGGAGGACCCTCCCCATTAAATTTGGCTATTTTCTTTGGGCTGGGTTTTAATCCCCTTTTGATTTTAAGATCCCACCTGGAATCAAACCGTCCTTTGCAAACGTAAAGTCACAAGGTGGTTGTGAAGCAAAACAGGAGGGAGGGGAGGGGTGAGTAGGTTGAGCCCTTGACGGGGAAAGTTGGGGTGTAAATGGAATAAACAGAGGAGTAAGGAAGCCCCCCAAAAAAAGCAATGGGAAGAGGTCGTTGCTGGCCTTTTTCCTCCTTTTTTAATCTTTTTTTTTTCTTTTAATCTTTTTTTTCCTTCTTCTTTTCTCCGTCCTGTTCTTTCCCAGTCGACCTACCAGACCGAGCTGGGCCAGGCCTTGGACCTGTTTCAGATCAATCTGGATTCCTTCACGGAAGAAAGGTGAGAAGGCCTGGCAGTAATAGTAAGTCCTCGACTTATAAAAGTCCATTTAGCAACATAAATTTTGGGGGTCAGTTGTCGTTAAGTCGAGGACTTCCTGAAAAAAATTCCAGCTGTTTCAAGAGAAGGCTGGAATTGGGGCGGTGGGCCACCCCACCCCCAGGCCCTTCACTCTTTGCATCAGTTTGGGGGTACCGCAAACCTTGGAGGTGCTCACTTAAAACTTGAAAGTTTCAAGGAGTCTTCTTAAAACTAATCGAGGAGAGAAGCAACCTGGAATTAAGGAGAAGTTTCCTGGCAGTGAGGACAATTAACCAGTGGAACAGCTTGCCACCAGAAGTTGTGGGCGCTCCATCACCGGAGGTTTTTTAAAGAAGAGACCGGACAGCCACTTGTCCGAGATGGGATAGGGTTTCCTACCTGACCAGAGGATTGGACTAGATGATCTCCAAGGTCCCTTCCAGCTCTGTTATTCTGTCTTCCTTCCTTCCTTCCTTCCTTCCTTCCTTCCTTCCTTCCTTCCTTCCTTCCTTCCTTCCTTCCTTCCTTCCTTCCTTCCTTCCTTCCTTCCTTCCTTCCTTCCTTCCAAAACGCTGAAGCTTTCTGCTTCCCTTGGCAGGTACAAAGCAATTGTGAAGCACAAAACGGCATATTATTCCTTTTATTTACCGGTGGCGGCTGCGATGTATATGGTGAGTTTAAGGCTTTTTTTTTATTAGCGGACAGAAAAACGTTCAACTGCGTTGCATTTTCCAATGGTGTTTTTTTTAAAAAAAAAAAAAACGATGAATACAGCTGCAATCCCAACTCAGGGCGAGGAACAGGCGGATATACTAGGAGTTGTATCTTACTCATTGCCTGTTGTAAAGTTTATCCATGTAGTCTGTCTTTACATTTTTCTTTCTCCTCCTCCTCTTCCTCGCTTAGGCTGGCATCGACAGCGAGGGAGAGCACGCCCATGCCAAGGCCATCCTTGTCCAGATGGGGGAATTTTTTCAAATCCAGGTACCGGTTTTGCCACTTTTTTGTCAAGAAACGGACAGCAGATACATTTGATAATAATTAAAAAAAAATAAGATTGCTTGGGATTTGAACATGGGACATCCAGATTCGGAGAAGTGAAGCTGGTGACTTCCCTTCGTTCCATGTCCCCCCCCCCATCTCTGCAAAAGGAGCCTCCATCAGGACTAGAAACATGCTGGGCTTCTAAATCAATCCAGTGTTCTTAGAAGGCCCTCTATTGGAAAAAGTTAGGACTGCACCTACTAGCTTAAATTCCTACCGGTGTAGCAGAGGAGAGTTGATCTGCCTTTGGTAGAGAAAAATGTTTGCAACGTTCAGTTTTAACTGACCAGTCTCTGCCCGGAATTCCTGGGATTGCAGCAATTTTGGCCAAACTGGGGATGCAGCAAGAAAAACAGGACATTTTGAAACTGGTTTGGGCTGATTGTCAGCAGCCACACAAAACCTGGCCACACAAAACCTATCATTAAGATACAGAGTCTGATATCCATGCAAAAGGGAACGACACAGGCCTGCAAAAACTTTGGCGCATGCAATCTTTTAAGTCCCCTGGTGCTTGAGAAACTCCAGAGATTAAAAAAAGAATTATATTTCTCCATGCAGGATGATTTCCTCGACAATTTTGGGGACCCCAAAGTGACCGGTAAGATAGGAACAGATATTCAGGATAATAAATGCAGCTGGTTGGTGGTTCAGAGCCTCAAACGGGCATCTCCGGAGCAGAGGAAGATTTTGGAGGTAACTTGGCTAGTTAAAGAACAAACTGAGTTTTCCAACAGCCACTGAAATTGACCCCAAATGGTCATACATACCCCCTACCTTCTGGAAATTCGCATGTCTCAAGTTAGTCCTTGACTTACGATCGCAATTCAGCCCACAGTTTCCGTGGCTAAGCGAGAATCTTGTTCAGTGAGTTTTGCCCCGTTTTATGACCGTCTGAAATGGGATAGGGTTTCCTGCCTGAGCAGGGGGTTGGACTAGAAGACCTCCACGGTCCCTTCCTACTCTGTTATTATTCTGTTATTCTATTTGAGCAGGGGGTTGGACTAGAAGACCTCCACGGTCCCTTCCAACTTTGTTGTTGTTGTTATTATTTTTATTATTAGATGAATTCTTAACCTGTCCAAATTTTTTTTTGAATTCCGTAGGAGAATTACGGCCAAAAGGAAGCAGAGAAAATTAATCGTGTGAAGGCTCTTTACGAGGAACAGGATCTAAAAGCCGTTTATAAAAACTACGAAGAAAACAGCTACCAACGCATCGTGGCTTTAATTGCCCAGCACGCCGTCCGTTTGCCCGGCCAGATCTTCCTTGATTTGGCCAACAAAATCTATAAGAGACAGAAATAATTTTTCCAAAGAAATCTGGATAATATTTTTTATTTTTTTTTTTAAAAGCTGGGACTAGAGATAAAAAACAAAATTTCTTAGACCGGTTGTGGGCTAATTCAGGAACGGCAGCAGGGACAGGGGTGGCCGGGGGGGGGGGGGAAGGAATATTTTAATTCCGTAACCCTCTCAATGGGATTTTATTTTATTTTTCGATAGGTGGTGCTACTTAGGAAGACTTGCTAGATTTCATTTTGCTTTGGGCGGAGGAAAATCCAGCCGTATTTCTAAGGGATGCAGGCTGCTTTTTCCCCCCCATTTTTTTCACTCTTCCCTAACCTCGGGGCTGTGGATCCTTGCCACCAGGGTCGGCAGTTGGGGGTGATTGGAATTGTAGTCCAGGAACTTTTAGGACGAGGTGCTGCGAGGACATTAATGATGCCAGTTTTCGATGCCGGATGAGACTCACCATCCATTATTTAGATGATGCTGTGAGACCTTTTAAGGGTTGCTTGGAAGACTTTGTACCAATAAATTATTTCAAATGGGATTTTTGTGTGTCGCAAAGGGCGATCAAGCGGCGATTGCGTCTTTCTTCTTCTTTTCACCTTCCTTCCTGTTCAGAGATGGAGATTCAGGTAGATTCAACTGGGGCTGGAGTCTCAAGGCAGTTCTTTAATAATAATAATAATAATAATAATAATAATAATAATAATAATATAATAATATAATAATAATATAATAATAATAATAATAATAATAATATAATAATAAAATAATAATAATAATAATAATAATAATAATAATAATAATAATAATAATAATAATAATAATAATAAAGTTGGAAGGGACTTTGGAGATCATCTAGTCCAACCCCCTGCTCAGGCAGGAAACCCTATACCATTTCAGACAAAGGGCTGTCCAGACAAATGAGTCGCCCCTGATTTTATGACCTTGTTTTTTTGCCACGGTTGTTAAACGAATCACTGCAGTTGTTAAGTGAACTTAATCATCAGCATAATCATAATTTTGATTTTGCAAAAAAAACAACACCTTACTCGGAATTGCTTTGTACACTCAGGCGTTACCTTAACAGCTCTTAGGTCCTTGGCTAGGATTTGAACTGTTAATTTTTTACCGGTCCCAGATTGTGAATCGAATTGAAGATTAAACCTTAAATAATAATAATAACTAAGAGAGTTGGGAGGGACCTGGGAGGTCTTCTAGTCCAACCCCCTTTTCAGGCAGGAAACAGGTTCTCCAATCTGTTCCGATCCAGTGGGAGGGGAAGGGAAGGGAAGGGAAGGAAGGAAGGAAGGACAGTAGAATTACAGAATAACAGAGTTGGAAGGGACCTGGGAGGTCTTCTAGTCCAGCCCCCTACAATTTCAGAGAAAGGTTCTCCAATCTCTTCCGCTCCAGTGGGAGGGAGGGAAAGGGAAGGAAGGAAGGAAGAGATTCACTTAACAAACGTGAAAGTTGTAAAATGGGACAAAGCTCGCTGAACAAAACTCCTCACTTGGCAACAGAGTCATCAACTGAGGACTAGCCGCATCATAAAAAACGATTCAAAAGTTAGCCCCACTAAAGCGCGAAGCGTTAAAATTGCAGCATTAATATCCACAGCAAACTGAAGCAAAGAATTGCACGAAACGGGCTGAGGTATCGTCTTTTCCCCTCATTTGCTTCACTGGGTTCTTTAGGCAGACGTGTTGAACGTTAAAAACAAAAAACCAAGCACCGCTGTACTATCACGAGGGCTAGAAACTTGTCGCCTTTCAAATTAACGGGAGCTGGGCTCCCTGCTAGGCAGAGTTCTGCATCTGATGTTGGTTTACATCTTTGGCATTGCTATCCCGAATATCTGCTGCAAATGAAATCGTTCACGACTGTGGGATATACAGTATTTTATTTTTAAAAGACGTGTGGGTCGTTGCGAGACACCTGGAATTATTACTCATAGCGGGACAGCAGCGTGGATCAATTGCACGTGGCATGTGTGTGTGTGCGTTTGCACGGGGCGTTAAAAACAAATTTAAAATAAAGGCAGGTCCAGCCTCCAATGGATTTAGCAGAAACTCTGGATGGGGTGGGGGGGGAAGCACCAAGCTGCATGCTTGAATCCAAGCCAAACCATGGCTTATTTTAAACTCAGTTTGTTCAATCAAGATGGCTCACCATAAGTTTTCTGCTCTGGGGCAGAAGCTCAACTTAAATCATCCCAAATGGGACCTCAAGCCTCCTAGTTTTTGGCTCTGTTTGGGCCAGAACTAGTCTCTCTCTCTGTCTCTCTTTCTCTCTCCATCCCTCTCTCCATCTCTCTCTCTCTGTCTCTCATTTTCTCTCTCTCTCTCTTTCTTGTCTCTCTCTCTCTCTCTCTCTCTTTTTCTCCATCCCTCTCCCCATCTCTCTGTCTCATTTTCTCTCTTCATCTTTCTTGTCTCTTTCTCTCTCCTTTCCTCTCTCCATCCCTCTCTCCATCTCTCTCTCATTTTCCCTCTCGCTTCGTCTCTTTCTTGTCTTTCTCTTTCTCCTTTCCTCTCTCCATCCCTCTGTCCATCTCTCATTCTCATTTTCTCTATCTTTCTCACTCTTCGTCTCTTTCTCATCTCTTTCTTTCTCTTTCCTTCCCTCTCTCTGTCTCTCATTTTCTCTCTCTGTCTCTCACTGCTCTCTATTTCTCTATCTCTCTATTTTTCTCTCTATTTCTCTCTCTCTCTCTCTCTCTCTCTCTCTCTCTCTCTCTCTCTCTCTCTATCTATCTATCTATCTATCTATCTATCTATCTATCTATCTCCAAATTAACCCCCCCCCAAAAAAAATAAAGATTCTGAACTGCTCATAACCAGAATCAGCCAGGTCTTCAAGCCGAAGCCAGACCCGAGCTCATTCCCACGGGAGGTTCAGATGGATGACCTCCGGTGGATCCCTTTGCCTCTCTACAAACGCGGAGATGCCAATTTAGTCTAGCATGGCAAGAGTTAAAGGTGTGTGTGGGGGGGAGAGAAATGGCAATGGGAGCTGGGTTTAGCTCCTCCTCCTGCTTGGCTGGGCTGAGATGATGGGGTGGGGGGGGTGGGCAGGGCTGGGCTGGACCAAACCCTGCAGCAGAGACCGGGGAAGGGCAGACGGGCAGACGGACAGACAGCGCCCGAGGCAGGTGAGTGTCCTTGAGGCTGACATCCAGCAGCAGCAGCAGCAGCAGCAGGAACTCCCACCCACTTGCCCTCCCCCCCCCCCCAAAAAAATAGGGCAGCTTTGTGTTTGGAAATGCTGGGGATGGATGGATGGATGGATGGATGACAGTTCCCAGGAGATAAACCAGGGCAGATCCTGGCTTGTCTTCCCGGCGTCCTTGATGCGGCTGGACCCCCTCTGAGCATCCTTCAGGTGTGCCCCACCTGCTTCCTTATTTTATTTTATTTTATTTTATTTTATTTTATTTTATTTTATGCACATCCCTGCTCCAGATGCAGGCACCTCTGCATTGCTTCTCTCCTCTCCCGCTTCTCCATCCAAGTCTGTTTGTTTGCGACGGGCGGGGAGGGAGGAGGAAGGGGGGGGGGTTGAGGAGGCGAAGCTCGTCGCCATTCGAACTCTGGACACACCCCAAAGGCCTTTCCCCTGTCTCCCTCCTCTTGGCCCCCCCTCCCGCCTTTTCCAAAGAGTAACCCCGAAATTGGGAAATAGCTACAGGGGGTCCCAGACCTTCTCTGCCATCTTTTGCTCCTGGTTTTATTTGGGGGGGCACTCCTCTCCTTTACCAGTTGGAAGTCTGCCTGCAGTGTCATCTCTCTGCAGTGGCTGCCTGCAGAAAAGCTGGCTTGGGTTCAACACCCCCCCCCCAAAAAAAGAAAAACAGAAACCTGGTTAGAATTGTTTGAGCCGGCCCACTTCTGGCTGTTGTTTCCTTTTCTGGGTTTGTGTTTGTGTGTGTGTGTGGGGGGTGTCCTTCCTGGCTTTTGAGCTGGGCAGCCTAGTGGTCTCAGGCCCAGAGCTGGGTTCGAGTCTATCCTCTGCTATTTTTCCTTCCCTGATACGATCATCCCCCCTCTACCCCCCCCCCCCAACCAGGCTAAAAGCAGAGCTGAACCCCAGATAGTAAAACTGAGATTTGGAGAAGAACTGCCCATGAAAAGATTTTTAGCGCCTGATGGATGCCCGTAGCATTCAATCCAAAGGGTGAGGGTCTCCTGGGCTCGTGCAGAGGGCCTTTCTAGGGGATGGAATTAAAATTAAAAGTTGGGGGGGGGAGGTTGTCTATGGCTGTGTTAGCATCACAAATCTTTAGCTGAAGCAGGATTTACTCTTGAGCCGATATTCTGGATTCAAACAACCGTCTTAGCGATTCTGACTTAGTTTTGGTATAATGGTCTGTTTAGGGTCTAAATGTTATTTGATCTCCTTCTCTGCTCTGCCGACCACAATTTCCAGCCATTGCGAGTACAGTAGTTCGACTTCTGGATTTTATATGTGTTATTTTTATTTTGGGGGGGGAGAAGGCCCTCAAAAGGATCTGAAAAGACTGTTTTTCTCTAGCCAATTGAGGTGATTTCGTTAGGACCTCCCTCCAAGGCAGCTTTTAGCAAAACCAAACCACCAAATAAATAAATTTAAAAAAAAAACAACACACAGAATTCAGCTCTGTGGAATACCTACATGGCAGAAACATCTAAACCAGGGGTAGGCAACCTCGGCTCTTTTATGACTCATGGACTTCAACTCCCAGAATTCCTGAGCCAGCTTAGCTGGCTCAGGAATTCTGGGAGTTGAAGTCCATGAGTCATAAAAGAGCCGAGGTTGCCTACCCCTGATCTAAACAGAAGGAAAATAACACCAGCTTTTTTGCTCTATTTGCAAAGGAAGCAGATTTGCAAAACAGCTCCAATTGGATTTGGCCAAATAATGGACCGGAGAGAAGAATGGATCTCAAAATTATTATCTTTTTAGTGTGCAAAGTGCTTTGGGGATAATTGCAGATAATGTTTTCCCCATCTTGATTTTTGGTTTTGAGATAGTTAGGTAGATGATAGATAGATAGATAGATAGATAGATAGATAGATAGATAGATAG